GGGGGGCGGGGCACGCCGCTCCCCCAATTGCCCCTAGCCTAGGGGACGCAGGGACACGGTGGCCGCTTCAGGGAGCAGGCCAGGAAGCTGGTGGCGAGGGAGTCTGGTGTCCCCACCCAGGTGAAGGCAGGTGGAAGTGCAGGCTTGCACTGGCTGGGGAGACAGGGGCTCAGTGGTACCCCAGGTCCACCTGGCACCCTGGAAGGAACCCATCACATGTCCCTTCTGAGGGCAGCGTGGCTGGTCTTAGTCCAGCTCCCCGTGGACCGATGCCTACCCACCCTCGTCATTGGTACTGATTCCATCCTTGCCGACTCCTTGGAGTGGACCAAACAAACGAATGATCTACGCACTGCTGGTCAGAGTTGGGGCACGTTGGCTGGGAGAAGCACGTTGCACCGCCACTGCCTGTGCAGAGACAGCTAGCACGGGGGCGGGGAAGAGCCTAGGGGATTTTGACACCTATCTCCTAGACAGTGTTGTGGTAGCCATATCACCCCAGGATATTAGCGAGACAAGATGGGTGACGCGGTATCTTTTGTTGGATCAACTTCTGCACAGACCTCACCCGCCTCGTCAACATCACCGTATGGGCAGGTACGTGTCTAAACCCCCTAGACCACTTCGGAATGCTCCGTCTGCGCCTCAAGTGTGTCAGCCTGGCACCGGGGGCCAGCCTTGAGCTCCGCACACAGATCAGCTGGCGTGCTCAGCTCGGGAGTCCCACTCAGTCTCCCTGTGGACTGCAGGGTGGTGCCCCAAATCCAGATTCTGCTTTGCCTCATACTGTGGAGCAGAATCCAACCCCCTTCCCCCGCCCCGCCTGTTGGTGCTCGTGGGAGAGGGCGCGGCCTGCAGGGTGAAAAGACACCGGCACTCACTCTCCACGCCGAAGCGCACGGACGCCGTGGCGATGCCATAGGTGTTGTTAGCCGAGCAGACATACTGGCCGGCATCTTCCAACACGATGTCCTTCATCTCCACCGTGAGGGAGTTCGGGGACACCTGGATGCTCAGACGCTGGCTGGGCAAGCCAGGAGAGCCCTGGGTCGCAGCCACGAGGGTGACTTTATCTCCTCTGTACAAGGCCAGATCTGACGGTGGGTGACTGTCCACGGTGCATTGGATGATGGCCCGGCGCCCATCTTGGGCATTGAGGAAGGAGCTCAGAGAAGGCTTCTTTGGGGCATCTGCAGGGGCGAGAACAAGAAACAAAGAGGGTGACTTTCTCCTGGACGGGGGTTGCACAGTTTGACCACACAGCCCTGGGGATTGGCAGGGGGTATGGAGTAGTGCTGGACAGAGAAAGCGTTTCCCGTCCTTTGGGCGTTTTTGAGACTTCAACAATTCTTCCTGTCCCAAATCAGGATGAAAACCCCAAATCTCAAAAACGTGGGCACACCACAAATCTGGCATTTGTTTCTGAGCATGGCAAGCAAAGCGTTTTGTTTCAAGAATTGCTGATGCGGTTTTTTTATGTGTGGGCCGATGCATGATTTGTACGTGGTTTGTATCTTCGGTGAGCTTAAATGCCGAAAACGGGACATCTTTTTGAATCAAAGCACATTTAGAATGTGGCGAAATGGGGTGTGTCAGCAACCGAGAAACTCCTGTTCAAACATGTTGGAGACGGGAAACTGTTTGGCTCTCTGTTTGGCTGCAAGGAATTGGGCGTTTTCCAATGAAAAAACCTTTTGCTTCAGATTTCCCCATTGGCTCTAAAGCAGTGTTTCCCAAATGGTATTCCGTGGAACCCCACAGGTTCTGTGACGTGAAACTAAGGATTCCGTGAGAAAATTCTATTCACTATTTAGCACTGCACGTGCAGGCAGGCAGTGGTGCGATCGCGTGCTGTATAACACCGGAAATCCCCGTACTCACTGTCAGGGAGCGTGGATCACATGGGTGACTTTAACAATACGACACGTTAACAGTATCTACACATAGAATTTAAATTCTTGATACAAAAATTCCCCATGGATCATTGGCTAAAAGAAGGAACTGTAAAGAAAAAAGTGAGTACCTGTACTTCAAACACTCCTGTTGTTACTGAAACCAGCAAAGACGATAACGAGGCAGCTTAAGCTAATTATGAAGAATTACAGCCAAGTAATAAGAAACACAGGTATGCTGAGGACTATTTGTCATTTGGATTCACAAGCGATAGAAATAAAGATGCTCCAGATGCCCAGTGTATACTGTGAAACAAAATATTCTCTAATAGCTCTTTAGTACCTGCTAAATTGCGAAGACATTTTGAAACAGATCACTCAGAATACAGAGATAAAGACGTTAGTTTTTTTAAGTGGAAGCTTGAATCATTTGAAAAAAGGAAACGCTTCATTAGTTTTTTAGCTTTATTTTTTGTACACATTAAATGTGATTTTTGTTTTTAAATATGTGCACTTAAACTAAATGTCGATCTCATGACCTTGTTGAGCATTTCTTTAGTATTACTCATTTGTGGTCTACTTTTTCAGCTCCAGTTGACACTAAATTAGGGGGAGAGGTAGATACGCTGGAGGGCAGGGATAGGGTCCAGAGTGATCTAGACAGATGAGAGGATTGGGACAAAAGAAATCTGATGAGGTTCAACAAGGACAAGTGCAGAGTCCTGCCCTTGGGGTGGAAGAATCCCAAGTATTGGTACAGGCTGGGGACCGACTGGCTAAGCAGCAGTTCAGCAGAACAGGACCTGGGGATTGCAGGGGATGAGAAGCTGGAGATGAGTCAACAGGCACCCTTGTAGCCAAGAAGGCGAATGGCATATTGGGCTACATTAGGAGGGGCATTCCCAGCAGATCCAGAGATGTGATTATTCCCCTTTATTCGGCTCTGGGGAGGCCACATCTGGAGTATTGTGTCCAGTTCTGGGCCCCCCACTACAGAAAGGATGTGGGCACATTGGAGAGGGGCCAGTGGAGGGCAACAAAATGATTTGGGGGCTGGAGCACATGACCTACGAGGAGAGGCTGAGGGATTTGGGTCTATTTAGTTTGCAGAAGAGAAGAGTGAGGGGGGATTTGAGAGCAGCCTTCAAATCCCGGAAGGGAGGTTCCAAAGAGGCTGGAGAGAGGCTGGTCTCAGTGGTGACAGGTGGCAGAACAAGGAGCAATGGGCTCAAGTTGCAGTGGGGGAGGTCTAGGTTGTATATTAGGAAAAACGATTTCCCTAGGCGGGGGGGGAAGCGCTGGGCTGGGGTCCCTAGGGAGGGGGTGGAATCTCCATCTCTAGAGGTGTTTCAGTCTCGGCTTGACAAAGCCCTGGCCGGGTTGATTTAATTGGGATTGATCCTGCCTTGGGCAGGGGGCTGGACTTGATGACCCGAGGTCTCTTCCAGCGCTAGGATTCTATGACTCCATATATCAGACTGTTGTTAGAGGATCCGCAAAATCCTTTTGAGTTTCAAAGGGTTCTGTGGCCAAATAAAATTGGAATTTCTGCTCCGGAGCGAGGCCCATGCCAGTAGCCCCCTGCTCTCCTCCCAGACTAGCTGTCCACAGGCACTGAAGGGCTGTCCACTGACCTCTGAGAAGTGACTGGGGGTCTGAGCCTCGCTGCTGGCTCTGATCGCCTCCCAGTGGCCGTCACAGCAGCGAGGCCGAAGGTGGCATGGGAGAGAGGCAAGCCAGGGCCGAGGGAAGGCAGACAGCAAGGTGGGAAACCGTGGCGGTGGGACCCACTGCTCATAGAATGCGTGGGCAGATGCGCACCACTTTCCAGGCTCTGGTGTAAACACAGAGTGGCGCTGCCGGAGTCACTCTCTTTCTAGCGCTGGCATTTTGAAGGCCCGTATCGTTGTAGGGTCTACATTGCTCAGCAGTCCGTGGATCACCGGAGGGCGGTAGCGCTCGGGAGAACCCGGCCCTCTGGGTTTATGTTGCGGGTTCTGGCCTGGTCCGATTCTATGCCTCCCCCCGTTTGGGTCAGCGGGGTTGGAACGCAGGGCTTACGGAGCTAAAAGCACGGGGGGAAGAGCCAAGTTGGTTCATTACGGTGGCGGCCTCGTTAACCGCTGACGTGGCTCAGCCACTAGAGGGAGACAAAGAGCTTCCCGAGTGTGGGTCACGTTTCAAGCACTGGACCCACTTGGGGGGTAACCAGTTGGGAACGGTCCCCCTTCGTCCAGCGAAACCATCCCCCGCCCCGGTTGAGTGGCCGGAGTCACCCGCCCTGGGAATTCGCTTCCACGCCTCCCTCGTAACGGTGTCTAAACGGCAGGCAACTTACAGAGCACCTGCAAGGCGGTGGGCAGAGACGTCCTCCTTCCCCCGTCGTCGTGAGCCGTGCAGCTGTACGAGCCGGCGTCGGGGGCCGCCGCGCCCCGGATGGTGAAGGCCTTGGCAGGACCCTCCCTCAGCCATTTGGCGTTCTTGTGCCAGGTGTAAACGGTGCTCGGCCGGGCACCGGTATCCTCACAGGTCAGCGTGACCGGGTCCCCCTCCCGTACGTCAGGCCCTGGCTGGATGACAACCCTCGCGGCTGGGGAAGAAACCGGAGCAAAGCGGGATACAGCTGGGGCAGCCCTCTGATGCCCACGACTAGCAGCTGGAGACCGCTCGCAGGACGGGTACGGATCCGCGCTGCTTTGCCCCCTTCCGCCCCAGCCCCGGCAGAGGTTACAGCCGCCTGGGGGCTGCTCCCCCCTCCACATCTGGCAATGATCCGTAGTCACCAGCCGGGGGCAGCATGTTTCAGCCTCCCGGTCTCGCCACACCCCCTGTGCTCGGTGGGACCACTCCACTGCTTCTTTGCCCCCTTAGCACGCCCCTGGGCGGGAGACTCCCTGCCAAAATAGACAGGAAGATTCCACTCCCTGGCGCAGGGGGCAGAGCAAAGGGGAGAGGCTGTGCCCTGAATCCCCCCTAAGCCAGCAGGGTGCACTCCGAACTCACTCTCGACGCTGACGCGCACAGAGGCGCTGGCCTTGCCGACCTGATTGGTTGCCAGGCACTCGTACGTCCCTGCATCCTCCACGCTGACGCCCCGGATCTCCAGTTTCAAGGCATTCGGAGAGGCCGAGACGTGGAGCCTCCCTCCGGCGGCTCCAGCGCCGCGGGAGGAGTCGGAAGCCACCAGCTCGGCGCCCCGGCGCAGGGCCAGTTCCGACAGCGGGTTACTGTCCACCGCACAGGCGATGATGGCGAGCTTCCCACCTGGGATCTCCAGGAAGGACTTCACCCAGAGGTTCCTGGGGGGGTCTGCAAGGAAGGAGGATTTCGTGAGAGCTCCCAAGGGGGTGGAATTCCCTGTGCTCCAGCGGCGGGTAGGCTGGACAATCAGATGGCCTCCATGAATCTGTGACCTAGAGCCACGAAGGAGCCGTTGTCAGAGCTAGGCAAGCGGTCGGTCACCGATCGCCCGTTCGGGGCCCCGTGCCTCTTTTTTCTCCCGTCCTTATTCGACGCGACTTGGCCAGGGATTTCTATGACTGACACTTGGCCTGTGCATAAGAACATAAGAACGGCCATACTGGGTCAGACCAAAGGTCCATCTAGCCCAGTATCCTGTCTGCCAAAGTGGTCAGCGTCGTGCCCGGAGGGGGTGGACCGAAGACAATGATCAAGCGATTTGTCTCCTGCCATCCCTCTCCAGCCTCTGACAAACAGAGGCCAAGGACACCATTTTATCCCCTGGCTAATAGCCTTTTATGGACCTAACCTCCATGAAATTATCTAGCTTCTCTTTAAACTCTGTTCTAGTTCTAGCCTTCACAGCCTCCTCTGGCAAGGAGTTCCACAGGTTGACTACACGCAGTGTGAAGAAGGACTTTCTTGTATTAGTTTTAATAAAACTAATAACTGTAGCTATAAGTACTGTAGCTCATCAGTAAGCTGTGTGTGACGAGTGTTCCCTATGAAAATCGAGCTGTGTGTTCATGGGACACCTCCGTGTCACATGGTGTGTTCCTGTCCTCTGATTGGGTGAGGGGGACCCTAGGGATCAGGTTTCTGGGGCAAAAGAAACCACAAAAAAATACAAGCTTGCTTGTTATCAGTATTGTCTGGGATCAACTTCAGCGTCTCCACCTTTGCCCCCCCCGCCCTCCAGGGGTCAATTCTGCACGACTGTTCAGAGAGGAGAAACTCAAACAGGGCTAGAACCGCGGCGACGGGGACTCCGCTCAGAATCCAAGCCCGTCCTCGCGGGCCGTTCTCAGCGACGTTCATTCCGCATTCTCGGCTCAGCGCCTGATTCGCAGGATAGCCGGAGCGAGGAGAACCCGGTGTGCGTTGGCTGAGTTTTGGGGGGACCTCAGGGCTGGGCCAGGACATTGGGCAGAAGGGTTTGTTTAACTCCACAATCCCAGTCCCCTCTGAACCGACACGCGGAATGAACATCGACGAACGGGCTCTTCAGTCTAGCAGACAAAGATCTAATACGGGGATGGGCAAACACCAGAATTTCCTCTCTGGCGAGTCAGGGTGGGACCAGAACCCCTTCCCTGAGCCCAGACTAGCCCCCGCCCCTTCCTGGACGCCATTCCCAGATCCTTCGAGCCCCCAGTTCCCGAAGGCTAGCTCAGCCGCCTAAGGCTCCCCCCAGAGGCATCTCTCTCACTAATGTTTGGATGCCTTTCCTCTCAGGTGTGGTTTGCATGGGCCGCTGTCCGCTTTCTGGAGACTGGGCCGGGACACACACTATGTGTGGCCAAAGCAGGATGCTTCGGAAGGTGGAGCCTCCCCTCCCCACCGATATACGGAGTGGTCTCTTATCCCGCTTCCTCTCCTAGCGCCGGTGGGCTGGGTGCTCTGGGCGGGGCCGGTGGGTGCACAGAGGCATTTTTCTCTGACCCCCGCCCATGCCGAGGACTCACACAGGACGTTCAGAGCGCCCGGGGAAGAGCTTCTAACCCTGTCCTGGGTCGTCGCTGTGCAGTGGTAGGACCCAGCGTCGGCGGCCGCGACCTTGGGAAACACGAGAGACCTGGCGGGGCCCTCGCGGAACCAGATACTGTTCTTGTACCAGGTGTAGTGCGGCATCGCCGGCGCGTCGCTGTCCACTGCGCAGGTCAGGTTAACGGCCTCCCCTTCGCGGACGTCCGGGGAGGGCGAGATCCACACCCGGGCAGCTGGGGGAAAGAAGGCAAGAAAATGACAGATAGAGGGGGTGTGGGGGGATGGATGGATAGATGGATAGAGGGCGTGTGTGCGGGTAGAGATAGAGGTGGGTGTATGGGGATAGATAAATAGATTGAGGGTGTTTGGGGGGATAGCTAGATAGATAAAGTGGGCATGAAGCGGGATTGATGGAGGAATTCAGGGGTATATACAGGGATGCAGGGATTAAATAGGTACATGGATAAATATGGTGAAGGATGGATAGATATATAGAGATATGTAGGGGGATGGGCAGGCAGATAAGTGGGTACTTGCAGATGGATGGATGGATGCAGGGTGTGGATGGGGGTGGATGGAGGGGTCTATAGATACAAGGGGGAGGCAGGCGGCTGGCTGGCTGGACACAATATATAGAGATATGTAGGGGGATGGGCAGGCAGATAAGTGGGTACTTGCAGATGGATGGATGGATGCAGGGTGTGGATGGGGGTGGATGGAGGGGTCTATAGATACAAGGGGGAGGCAGGCGGCTGGCTGGCTGGACACAACACAGAAGAATGTGGGGGTGGGGTTGGCTGGACACAGCAGTATGCAGGGGGTGCGGGCGGCTGGACACAGCAGTATGC